TCAGATTAGATGGACAGCGTTTGTGAACAGCAGTTTTCAGATCTTGCTACAGATTCTCGATTGGATTTGGATCTGGACTTTGACTGGGCCATTCTATGTGCCAAAATGTGTTGAATAAAAGTAAAACATTTCCAGAAAAACTAATGCCAACATAAAGTACAGATACCTTAAAATTCTACAGAAGTACTATAAAGATTTATTTGTACTTCGCTACTTTCCACCTCTGCTACCATTTGCCTATGACCTGAAAAGGAGAGCTCCATCTTGAAATTTGTTTCAGCTCCTAAAATCTGAGCTAGCGAAACAAGCTTATGAATTAGCATTTCACCCTCTCTTTTAAATTTAGCCACTTCTGTCTCTGAATGGCCTCAAACTGAGGTGCTGATTCCCGTCACAGAGTGCAAACTGTTCTGTCACTGAGTGTTGGAGGCCATTGAAGCCTCCTGGAACACGTCATCAGTGAAAATCAGGGATTTGATTATGAGGTCAGAGAGACTGACAAATCCTCTTTGTTTAGGTTTCCATCCAACAGGAACTACTCTGAATATGTACAACAAACATAAAAGGGAAAACCATGGTATGCAGTTGGAGTACTTTCTTGGTCCAACCTATGATGAAGTATTATGGACCACATTAAAAAAAATATTAATCATTTTGAGAATACATTCAATATGTGAAGATTATAGTTGTGTTTTCAGACAAACTGCCACGATTGCTAGAACCTCTGAGTTAGTGATTTCAGAATCAGATTTAGTCACAGGGAACTGGTCTCTTTTTTTTAGTGCACAAACATAGTGTGGTTATCGGTATAAGAACTGAAAAGATTGTGTTGAAAGATGCATGTGGAGATTTGTATAAAATGAAATGGCTGGCAGTAGATCGATAAAGGTTTATCGATGGTTACACCCCTATGCTATAAAGAGGATGTATGTTGTATCACAAGATGACTGATCAATTTGTTTCACTAAGTTTTGTAGAGAGTATAGCAGCTGTGGCAGAAATATCTCATCCTTTTTTCTCAAAATTGAATTTTAACTTGTTTCTGGAAA